ATACTGTTTCAGCTGACCTTTCCACCTTGCTGTTCCATCACCTTCCTTCCCATCGGGAAATTGAGTTAACTGAATACAAGTGTCAGAGTGTGTTTCGCTCAGCCGTCCCACTCGGGTGCTGAGTGTGATCCCCGTCACAGGGGCGCAGTTTTTCACGCCGGTAAGCAACCAACCCAACATGCCACCTCTCACCGGATTTCCACTGGAAGTCATGGACACACCCTTTGAATCAACAGCTGCATTGGCCGCCGGGCCTAAACACGGTTACTTACTCTTTCACCAGCTTTCAGAGTCAAGGGCTAAGTATTCAGTAACTAGAGTGCTAGGTAGTCAGTAACTAGAAGGTTTTGTAACTAGTGGGCCTCGTAACTACACCTATCTTTCTTTCTTCCCCTCTTAGCGCTGCTCTTTCTGTCTTTCTTTCCTTTTGTTTCTAAGGCTTTTTAGGTGACTATTTAGTTTTCTCACATGCGCGCCGAAAAAGCGCCGAAGCCGGCGATCTGTGTGTGTCCACCCCTGGACAAAGGGTTTTCCACCGCTACTCCTTCCACTGTTTTTCAACCACCTTTTTCAACCTTCTACAGGCAGGGGGGCAGAGAGGACTTGCAAGGCTCTGCCCAACGAAGCTCCTTGCAAGATCCTAGGATGCGGAAGCTGATCACTTCCGTGTACCTGCTCGTTCTTTCACAAGCTGTTACTCCACTTTTCCACTTTTTGTTTCATGGTTCTTCACGATTTCCACCCCATAAACATTCGTCCCCAGCAGCTGAGCAGCCGGTTCGCTTTTCCGCCGCTTGCGAGTGCCAACATTGTTCAACAATACTGTTTCAGCTGACCTTTCCACCTTGCTGTTCCATCACCTTCCTTCCCATCGGGAAATTGAGTTAACTGAATACAAGTGTCAGAGTGTGTGTCTTGTTCTTGTTTGTTAATCTTATCTAAGTTACCTAAGTACTTGATCCTAGCGCCAAACCTAGCGCGAACCTAGCGCAACCCTGCGTTTTGCTAGCGCGACGAGGTAACATACCCCTTTAAACACCAGAATACCAAGCGGTGGCCAAGCGATTTCTGAACCTCTGGGAACATTCCTTACTTAATACATATTCCCGGTTTTTTTGTTCGACTCACCTGGCTCCCAAGAGGACGAAAGCATGAGAGCCGACAATGACAATGACAGGCCACAAGGAACAGAGCGGCCAGCGCATGAAGGCCCAGAGGAAGAGAGCCCCACGGAGGACCCGACAGTAGCCGTCGATTACTTCTGACATGGGCGAGCTCTTCAAGTCGCTGGCGCTGGCGATAGGCCAAAGAGCCCTCGACGACATGGCACAAAAGAACCTCTATATAGAAGAAAAAATACATACATACATACATACATCCATACATACGTACATATCAAAACAAAACAAAACATTACATTAATACATACATACATACATTAATACAATAACATAACATAACATAACACACAAACATACATACTTACTTACATACATGCATACATATATTACATTACTGTACTTTACTTTACTTTACGGTACACTACATTACACTACATACATTACATGACATGACATTACATTACATGAATACATACATACATACCTACATACATACATTCATACATGCATACCTACCTACCTACCTACATACCTTACCTTACCTTACCTTACCTTAACTTACCTTACGTTACATACTTATATTACATGACATTACGTTACGTTATTACATTGCATACCTAAAACACTATACATATGGTATCGGATCTCGAATCGTTTTTTAATATATATGCCTATAATAACATATAATGTAAAACTATGATAGACTATGTATATATGTAATCCAGGCGTGAATTTCAGGCAGGAGCTGGGGGCCAGGAGCTGGGAGCTGGTTGGAGTTGATATTTAATGACATTTACAAACTATAGGATCGTTAGAGCATTATGCCTGGAGTTGCGTGGATAAATGGCATGGCCCAGGTCCTGCCTGGGACACTCTTCCCAATGGACCGAAATTTTACTTTATAGCACTATATAAATCCAATCTCAAACAGGGTAACACAGAGTCAGGCAGAAAAAAGTGGAACCGGTGCCACCTCGACAGCACTAGTTTTATAGAAAAAATTATTGAACAAATTGTTTTGGGCAGCTCTCGAGAAGGAACCTGGGCCACCCGCGAAGTTTGCGACTGCTCTGTCAGAGAAGTTTTCGTTTGCACACGTTTGCTGCTTCCTCAAAGGTGCATGAATTGCAAAACTGCGTGGCCCCTTCCAATCACCGGTTTTTGTCTCTACAGGACAATGCATCCCATACGTTTTACTGAAAATGACAGAGTTACCTGTCAGCAACTATCCTTCCTATCTATAGAATCTAGTTTTCAAGTCCACAAACCACTTCTGCTTTCTATAGAATTCTCGTTCCTGTGTTTGATAACCAGTATATATTCTATAACATGAACCGTTTATAGAATTCCTGTTCCAGTCTTTATTGTATTTTTTCAGGCAAGTCTCTTTCTATAGATTCTGTTCCCAGGTTGTTTGGCAAAACTGGTTTCTCTATAAAATCTGATCCAAGGTTGCCAACGTGCTTCCTATAAAATCCCTGAACACAGTTCTGGCCGATGCCAAACAGTTATTTTTGTTGTTTTTTGTTGAGTTTATAACTGTTTTCTTTTTTTGAATCATGGTAAGGCCAGAATCCTTGATATAAACCAAACAAAAAAGTCTAATGGAACAGTCAAAGTCAAAAAACAGTCAACTTGAAAAGTAAAAACACACAAAAAAAACACAAAACACCAAAAAAGTCAAACATAGACCACAGCTCGAAAAAGTCAAAAAAAAGCCGAAAACACGTCGAAAAGAAATCAAAATCAAAAACCAACTCGAAAAAGTAAAAAACATATCAAAAAAAGGTCAACAACTCGAAAACGTCGAAAGAAAGAAAGTCGAACAAAAAGTCAAAAAAAACACCAGTCAATAAAAAGTCCAAAAACGTCGGATCTGTGCAAATTGACCTTTTTTGACTTTCTGAAACTTTCTGATTTGATTCCCGAAAGCATTGCGAAGGGTTCTTCCGGAAAATCCTTTGAACACTGACACTTCGACACTTACACTTAGACACACTTCGACACTTACACTTAGACACACTTAGACATTGACACTTTCACCACACTTGCAGGATAACATGAACGCTATACGTAGCCCTGTGTAAGTGGAAGAGCGAAAGCTGTCAAAGTATGCAAGTGGAAGTATGCAAGTGTAAGTATGCAAGTGATGAGTATGCAAGCATGCAATGAGTAGGCAAGTGAAGTAGGCAAGTGAACTAGCACGGGAGATGTCCTAATGAAAAAACATTTCCCCATGAAGATATGCCCAGAAGGGTGCACACGTGAAACGTGAGGAAGATCCTACACCTGAGAATCAGGTCCACGCTCATGCATGAATGCCAATGCAATTGGCAGAAAGCCTTTGACTGGAGTTCAAGCGAAAGGAAAAGGGAGCGTAGTGCAAGCCATAGACTGAATGTAGGCGCCTATAGTGCTTGGGGCAGGCTTGGCGTAGGCTAATCATTCAGGACATGGTCTTTGCACAAGTTAAATGGTTACATTTTGGCTCAAGGCTAGCTTTAGCCAAAATAGCTTTGTGGAGTGAAACTCTAAGAGAGAACCTCTCTGCTCAGCTGGCAGTTTTGGCGAGTGATCAGGTGGTCCAGTGGATAGGAAGACTGGGTTAGGAACAACAGCCGCAACTTCGCAGATGCCTACACCATCCAGATCTGCTTCGGGTGGACGCGCTAGACTCTCTAGACCCAACCAACTGCGTGTCTCATACCGTGACTTCTTCCTGATAAATTCTGTGTGGACGTCGTTCTGCGGAAGCACAACACTATCCTTGCTGTGTACAAAGACTAGTCGCGAGCAGAACAGCGAGAGTACGCTAAAACATCTACAGTGCCTGCTGTGTGTCACCTCACGCTACTTTGTCGCGTTTTTCTTTGAGACAATCAATTAATCAATGACAAGCATACTGGTTGGTTAACTACATCCTAGAAAAGCTGTGTCCTGGAGTGAAGTAAACGTTTTTGCCCGGAAGATATATATCGATGGATGCCTTTCCTCTGACAGGTCACTGCTTCGAGACGCTTCTGGCGTGGCTGCCTCAGCATTTTCTGTGTTCATTCCAGCTCGGTTTTTTCAGTGAGATTCCCTGCAGCCGTGCACGCTGCTTCTCCCCTTACCAGCAGCTCACACGCTCATGACGATGAGCTGGGCTGTCACCGCTTGGCCGCCGGTGGGGG